CTTGTCAAACCTAATGCCTCTTTTCATAACAAATACGGGGCAATCCGCTCTTTAACATTGTGAAAGGAAAGTCGTAAACTACCTACACATATAATTTTTTAAAAAATTCAAAATGATGCCTTAACTGTAATATAAAGGAAAAAGTAAATGTGTGATTCATTATGGAACTGCTCAGGCATCCCTAAACTAAAAGACACAATGAAGCAATCAGATGTTTGATTCACCTGTAGAATCACCGTGAAATGGACAGCCATAAAATGATCTGTATTGGTGATTCAAATTCCAAACACTGTATTGCCATTCAATGTACTGCATTCCAGGAAAAGCCAATACATCTTAAAACTGTGTGAAAAACACTTTATGTTTATATATAAAAGAGATTCTAGGCTCGAGTAAATATAAATAGGTTTTTCATCTACATGAATGGACAGTAGAATAGTCGTCACACAGAATGTAGGAAATTCTTTGCTATGCAGTCCTAGCCTGGGCACTGCAAGATATCTAGCATCTTTTGGCTCCACCAACTACATTCCAGTAGTTCTCCCCAGTCCCTGGGACAAGGAAAATCACTCTGGTAAATTTCCAAAACAACTCCCGGAGGTAGATCCATCCCAACAGACTGGTTCTGTAAATCCAGCAGGATGCTTTTCTATTGTCATTGGCTACCTCTCTATAGCATTTGACCTGTTAATGAGATCCTCTTCACTTCTTCCTTCCTTGACTTCCGAGTCACGGCCCTCCTGCAGCTTTCCCAATTTCACTTCCGCAGTTCCTGCCAGGTGTCATTGACTCTTTACCTCCCCTTGCCCATCTCCGCTGCCCTTCCTTAAAAAAAAAAAAAAAAAGATTTATTTATTTGAGAGAAAGAGAGAGCAGGGGGAGGGGCAGAGTGAAAGGGAGAGAGAATCTCAAGCAGACTCCCTGCTGAGGGCGGAGTGCCAGGCAGGGCTTACCTCACAACCCTGAGATCATGACCTGAGCCAAAAGCAAGAGTCCGATGCCTAACCAACCAACTAAGCCACCCAGATGCCCCTGCCCTTCCTTTTTCCACTCCACATGATCTTCAACTCCCTTGCCTAAGGAATTGACTCTCAAAGTTCTGTTTCTACACAGGATACCCAAATTCACACTTCCAACTGACACTCTGTCAGAAAGCCTGAAGTTATACATGTCCCAAATCAAACTAGTCACCTTCCCCTAAAACCTATTATTCCATCCGTTGTACCTATCATCCACTTAGGCAATCTAGAAATGACAATCATCTTTGTTCCCTAGTCCTCACTGCCACATCCAGTTGACTGCACTGCTCTCTGTCGATTTTGCCTTGGAAGTGTCTCATACCTGTTTCTTTTACTGTAGTTCAAGCTCTCATTACCTATGACTTAGAATACTGTCACAGCCTCCTAACTAGTACTTCTACTCCAATTTATCTTTTGATATTTCCACAAAAGGAGGTAATAATAGTATTTATTAGTATTTATAAATAATATTTATATTTAGTATAGTGGTGATCGAGTGCTCATTATATGTCAGCCACTATACTAAATGCTTCCCATCTCTTTTAATCTGCACAACCACATCATAAAGTAGGAGTTATTATTATTGAAATTTTAAAGATAGGAAAAAGAGGTTTGGGGAAGTTAAGTAACTTACCCAAGGTCATAGAGCTAGCTCCAAAGTGACACCAGGATCCCAGCTCTATCTGGCTTCTAAAATCCCTGTTGTTTTTGCCTTTTTTTTTTTTGATACAACTTTTTCATATTGCCTCTAGTCTCATCACAACCTTCTATTCAGTCTCTACATTTTTCCCACCTGCCATTTCCTTCCTTATCCATCTACCACTTTTCCATATTGCTTCTAGACTGATCACAACCTTGCATTCTGTCTCTATCCTTCCCAGTCCATTCTTCCAATCCACAGGTTCTTTGGTTTTACTTATCTCCTTACTTTGTAAGGATTTATTCATCAGCTATTTCAAGAGAGTCCTTCACAGCAGGTTCCTCTTCTTTCACGGCACCCACCACATCTGCCCTCCTTCTCCCCACTCTCTTCCCAGCTGCTGAGAGCAGGGTTAGAAAAGGGAATGAATAAAGCAGATACTAAAAAACTCCCTGCATCTTAAGTTTTTCTCTGCCTAACTCAGTGTTGTTTTATGGTTCCAACGTAATGAACGAAATAAAAGGTGTTCTGTAAACTGTAGAGTGCTCTACAAATGTAAAGTGCTATATATTCACCCTACCTTTGCATGCCCCGGGCTTCAACTGAGTTTTACTCTGTGAACGACGGCAAAGGTGTTCCAAGCGGAGAACGCCACGTTTGCGTTCGGAGTTAAGGAAGAGTAAGGCCCCAAATAATATGAATTTGGCTCGGGAAATGTCTACTTTGTCGTTACTGCCCAAACTCAGCTTAAAACTTCATCAGGACGTGAGGGCGATAATGGTACTGGCCTGAAACCCCCCAATTTAAAACTCTCTCTCGGAATGTTCCCCTCCCCCCAGCTCCCTGGAGGTTTTAAGTTCTTGCAAACGTCTTCCCCGACTTTCACAGGGCCCCCGCCCTGTGCGCTCCCTTCCTGACCTCTCCGCTTCCTGGTGGCCCCAGCCTCGGACCCCCGCCCCGCCCGCCGGCGGAGGACTACAAGTCCCAGCGTGCCGCGCGCCCGCCCGGCCGGCTGCACCGGGGCTGGGCGCGTGGCGGCCGCCGAGCTCTGCGCGGGGGAAAGCCTCCCGGCGCCGGCCGTGCGGGGAGGTAAGTGATACGCTCGTGCTGCGAGGGCACTGGGAACGCGGCCACCCTCTCCCCTCTCCAGGATGAAAGGAAACGAAGAAAACCACAATAAAAACCGCCCTGCCCTCCCTCGTCTCTGCTGTGTGTCCGGTGCTCCTGCAGCTTGTTGCACCCGCGAGCGTGGAATCTGTCACTCTGGAGTGGAACTGGCGGCAGAAGCGTGCCTGGCTCCGCGGAGAGCCGCGGCCCGCCGGGGCCGCGGGGCAGAGCTCGCAGGATGGGACCGGGTGGTGGCACGGCTCGGCTGGGCGCCCAGCGAGCGCCACACCCCCACACTCCCTTTCCACAGACGGGCTCCCCGGGGAGCCCCCAAACTCAAAGACGAACGGTTTCTTCTTGAAAGTCTTAGTCAGAAACTTTCCCCTCTTGTCGCCAGTGCCACCAGCGAGTCGTTTGTCTCTCGGACGGCGCCGCTCTGCCAAGAGGCTTCCTGGCGTCCCCTCTCCTGCCCTCAGTCTTGTCCCACCGCTCGCTCTCCAGGCCGCTCCTCCCTCTCCCCCGAGACGCCCTTAGGGACGCGGTGAGCTTGGCCCTGCCCTCCGGCGACTTGTCGAGATTTCTTCTGCAGCCACGTGGACCCAGGTCTGCACTCTGCGATGTGGGCTGGACACTCCTGCGGGCCGATTCCTTGACGGGAGGCAGGGCGAGTGGTTCCTTTGGGACAGCGCTGGGTCCCGGGGTGGGGGCTGGGGTGGGGGGAATGAGTGCTGATCAATAAAAGAAGCCCGATCGGAGGCACCGGTTTCCCACCCTTGCTGACTCATCTCCCCTCTTGAGCCCATTCCCAAGTGTGCCTGAAAGTTCTGCTTCAGAATCCCAACACGAGGATCTTCCAAGTTATTCTAACACATTCCATAATATCCTGGATCAGAAGATCTTGTTTGTCTGCCTCTCTCTCACCCTACACTTAACACACTACACACACGCGCCCATAAAAACACACTCTGCACACTACACACTCTACACAAGCCACAAACACAGAGCATACACATTACACACAGCATGCACATTACATTCATCACATAAACATACATACACACACTTCGTTTATGCTACAAGGCTACATACACATACCATATACAACATACATGCATACACACTGTTTTTATTAGCAGAGGGTTAAATCAGTTTGTTGGAGAGAGTGAGGAGGAAGTGGGTGAGTACTAGTATATATACTTATACCCACAAATGTCAATTTATTCCACAGTTAGAAACTAGATAAGTGAAACCTGCTGTTGTTAGAATTCAGAATGCTTTCTTGACTCCTTTTTGTTTTTCTTCCATAAAATGGGATTGATTTCCTACATCACCTTCTGAAACCCTTACCATTATCTAACAAGCAAACTTTTGATCACAGCAGGGGAGAGAGAAGATGTCCTCTATGCGTAGGAAGAAAATCTTGGAGAAACTTCACAGAAACCTTCCTACTGTAGGGGTGTCTAAGGAAAAGTCAGGTGTAACTACATTTTCTTTGCCTCTCCTTCCAAGATTCAGAGCTGAACTGATTTTGTTCTGAGCAATGGCATGACAGTGCTGTTGAGACACCTTTCCCAAACCCCCCTTTCCCCCCCAGGACTCACAGCCCAACCCATTTGAATTTAGTTGGAGCACATTTCAGCAATTTCAGATCAAGTCCCAAAACATTATGAAATCTGTTGGTGAAAGGGCTCTCTATCTCCAGAAGAGTTCATCATTTTCATCCATGGTGATAAGACTTACCTTTTTGACCAGACTCAAAAAATGGTCCTCAAAAATAAATTAACACTTAGGATTTGTCCCCAAATTATTGTTGGTGTTGTTATTATTATTTTTAGAATTTGTCCCTAAATTATTGTTTGCTTTTTCAAAGGAGCAATGGTGAAGTTGGGTAGAGAGAGCATTTGAAATCTTTATCAATGATGATCTTTCATGAAGTTGAACATTTCTAATATTCTTGGAATGAATAAGGGAAAGAAATTTTGACTTTGAAATTCAGGTTGCAAATTTAGATTATAGTTTCTGATCTTCTTCTAGGGCCCTTAAAAATTACTAAAGAAAAGGGAGACCTGCCGCTTTCTCCTCAATTCTTCCTGAACTCTACGCAGTCATATAGCAAAGGTGGTTTTTTTTTTTTTTCTAGGATCCTTCTTGGGAACCTGTATTCTCTGCCCTATCTTGGTTTAGTTGACATCTTGACCCTAAAAGTGTCCAAATATTGATTGTTGTTCATTTCGATGACAGCTATGCATGTTTCCTGTGTATCTATGGCCTATTTGTGGAATGGGAATGTTTCCCTTCAGCCGTGGTTCCCAGCCAAGCAAGGGAACTGTGACATTGACCAGGGTAACTTAAAAGATCATGCCTAGTACTCTCTATGCCACCTTCCCATTTCCTGAATGGTAGGAGAAACTATGTTTGGGGGTTGGCATAGTATCTTCTTTTTCATATGTAACTAATATAGAACCTGGTGCTCATAGATAGTGTTAGGTAAATTTGTTGAATAATGCTTTGTGTGCAACTGGGATAAACAGTTAAGATTAAAACTCCCAGAACTAATTGTTTTTGTAGAATGAGATTTGTTTCATTTTGAATTTTGGCTGACTTCATCTGGTAGGTTGAATGCCAAAAGAAAAGAATGTAGGTGTTCTCAAAAGATCTGGTCATCCACTTTGCATCCTCTGAAATATGTTACTTCCTGCATAATGAAGAAAAGGATTTTCTGCTGGGCAGTGCTTTCCTTATTCTTAAAGAGATTACTTAAAAAACAAAAAACAAAAAACCAGCCCTGGGAACTTTGTCCATGAGTCTCTGTTAGGAAGAAAGAGTAACACAGGACTGCAGCTTCTGAGTATTCACTGGTTATAGCCAATAGTGCTGGGTTCTTTTATTTTCTCTTGTTTTTTTCTCCCATGGGGGAGAAAAATAGTTTTCAAAACATGACATTCCTCTTCAGAACAACAGCAAGAATCTATCATGCAGCAACAACGCAGGGGAGGGAGAAAATAAGAGGCTATTGATACCGCTTGTTTTTCTTTACAAGACAGGTGCAGGGAGAATTCTGCGGTTCTTGGACTCCTGATTCATTCACTTCCACTAATTGTGCTGAAGGTAGTTAGCAAAAGTGAACAGGCACACTGTAGCTTTAAAAAGTCAGCCATGAACCAGAAGGCAGTTGGTGCAGCTTGTGTGTGATTCCTAACGTCATGTTGGCTGAGAGCCAGCCTGGTTTTATTTCACTGTGTCAAATTGTACCTCCTTATTGAATTCCTTTGCCAGCCTACTTTGTGAAAGAAAACATTGGGGTTTCTTTGGCTGTTCTTGATAAGCCTATAAAAAATGACATGTATTAGTTGCTTCTAGGTAGGTTTTCTTTTTACTCTTCCACAAAAAAGAAAATAATAATAATAATAATAATAAGCAATGTAGGATGGTGTTACAGAGTATCATTGTGAGTGTTTTGTTTTTTTTCTGAGATGCTTAGAAAATGGTGAATGTGTAACAGTTTCCAACTGAAGTGAAATCATTCTTTTGGCATGGAGCTGCAGCACTATCTTCTGTCTACTCTGTAACGGTGTGTGAATGTATGTTAATATCTATATGTAAATTAAATGTTGGATTTCTCTATGAATGATCTAAGTGGTTTAGCAACTGGAAGTTTGTGAGTGTGTGTGTGTGTGCGTGCACGTGTGTGTATGTATGTGTACGTATCAGGAGTGAAGATTATCCCACACTTAACAGTATTATTTGTTAATCATCTACTTCTCGAGCAGTGATAAAATCTTGTGACTATACTAAATGATGCACTTGTCATGTCAGAGTAATCCCTAGAGAAAGAGTGCCGAAGTATAATCTGAGAGGAAATGTATTTAATTTATGGCTTCGGCTGTAGAACAAGCACATTTCAGAACTAGTTTTTTTAAAGCAGTTTTGTTCATAGCTTTTTCATCTTGCTAATTGCATATTAATTGTGGAGGGTTTTAATTTTTTTTACTGTTCTCATCCTACTAAACAAAAAGACAAAGTGATGGATGCTACTATATCTCCTTGGATGTTTTGGTGATTTTTACCTAAATCTAATGAGCTGCCTCCCCTCTCTTACACACACACACACACACACACACACACACACACACACCAGCACCACCTTTCTGTGCTAAGGGCTATCTGACATTTTTGTGAGCTTCCAGCTTTACCACAGCATGGCCATCTCACAGAGAGGCTTTAAGGCTTTCGTTGAGAATATGTGAGGTAGGGGAATACTTGCTGACAAAAGCTTTCAGTGCTCTTTTGCATTGCAATGAAAAAATAGAAGGTTTGTGAGTGGACAAAAAAAAAAATGCAATTAAAAAAAAGAAAAAGAAATCATAGCCCGTGGTCTGAAGGGGCAGGAAAAGGGGGATTGTTTTTCTCGACTTTGACTCATTTATGAGTTGCAGTGTCTTAAGTGAGAGCTTGGCACCCAGGGGAAGCTGTGCCAGTTCACACAGCACTTGTTTTGAACGAGGATTCAATTTCATTTGCAAATGCTTATTGTCAAGGCAGGGAGTGCCAGTACAGATGAAAACACCCCAATCCATCTCCTCCAGTTCTTTAGGTTTAATCACATCTCTCCAATCGCCGAGGGAACTGGATGTTTAAACAAACATACGTGAACTGGTGTGAAGCTCTAAAAGGGACCATTACGGGGTTTCCGATTCAGAATATATATTCTTCTCTCACTTTCTAAGAATTAAACACAAGCTTTTCTCCCTTATTGATTAGTTGCTGAAGTAAAGGAACCCTGCAGCCTTCCCATGCTATCTGTTGACATGGAAAACAAGGAAAATGGCTCTGTCGGTGTAAAAAAGTAAGTGAAACTGGCTTGTGAGTTCTGCTTCTGCAAACAACAGAGGGACTTGGTTTCTATTTTTATACTTCTTGCTTATCTACTACAATACACTGTTTAGGGGTGATTTTGCATCCCCCCAACCCCAGTTGCCTTTTTCTTTATTCCATTTCTAAGACAGAGATGACTCAGGCATCAAACTGTACATAAAGGGTTAGGGTGTCAGGCTTTGGAACAGGGACGGTGGAGGATCTCAGCCCCGCATTCTGTATATTGAAACAAAACACTGAGCAAACAGACTCTGCCTTCCAAGTCCATAGGCTACAAGGGTGGGGGCAGAACAGAATTCCAGTCCTTTTAAATAAAACCACCTCTATCAAAACTGAGACCTGTAGTAAAGGAAAGAAAAAAGCTTTAGTTAGAATATGAAGTTGAACAACTCTGTCCTACTAATTTTATGAACTGATCCTTGAATGTGAAACATTTCAGTACATAACATAGTGTTCTGTTTTCATGTCTGTTCTCACATTTGAAACTTTGTTGTGAGTTATATGCTTGATTCTTTTAAAAAGGAATATTTAGTTGCATTATATAGCATATTCTGAAACATGCTACATATTTCAGGGTAACTCATAAGATATCTGTGAGTATATGAAAAATATGTATATCCCTATTTAGATGTTATTTTGAAGCTATAACTACTGTGACTACCAGGAGAAAGTAAGTTCCAAGAGAGTGTTATCTTCCATTTTTCCATGTCATTTAGTTTAAAACTGCCCTCAATTTGAGCTTTGGAGAAAACTAATTAAATATAATCCATAAAAGTTATGATATCTAAATGAGGAAACAGTGTGCTACATGTTTGTGAGTAGAGGGTATATTTTGTTTCACAGAAAAGTTACATTAAGGTAAACTTAATAAAACTGCTTTTAAAGATTCTCCTGTAATGTATATATATCAGTGCCATGCTGGCATGCTTATCCCGTTCTTGAAGTTTATGGTAGGTGAATGTAGGAGAAATAAAAGAAACAGATGCACTTCCCCCCCCCCCCCCGCCCCCGTATGAGTTAGATCAGTGCTTTCCAGTAAGTAGTACTTTGAACAGTGATGGATATGTTCTTCACTTGCGCTATCCAAAATGGTAGCCACTGGCTGTTTAAAATTTGAAATGTGACTAGTGTAAACTGATTAATTGAACTTTTAATTTTAAGCAATTTTAAAAGTTAACAGCTTTGTTGAAATATAATTGACATATAATAAACTGCATGTGTTTAAAGTATAAAATTTGTAAGTTTTGATATTTGTACACACCCGTGGAACCATTACCACAATTAAGATAACCCCCCAAATTTCCTCATAACCCTTTATAATCTCTCCCTCCTGTCCTTCCCTGCCATCATATCCCCAGGCAACCACTGATATGCTATCTGTCACTATAGAGTAGTTTACTTTTTCTACAATTTTATATAAATGGAATTATTAAGAATGTACTCTTTTGAGGGAAGTGTGGGGGTGTGGTTTATTTTACCCAGCATAATTAATTTAGGATTCACCCATGTTATAGTGTCTATCAATAGTTCATTACTTTTTATTACTGGGTAATATTTCATTGTGTGGATATACAACGGTTTGTTCACTGTTTATCCATCTACTTGCTGGTAGACATTTGGGTTGTTTCCATTTTTTAGGTATTACAAATAAAGCTGCTTTTACCATTTGTGTACAGGTCTATGTGTGGACATATGCTTTCATTTTTCTTGGATATATAGGAATGGAATGGCTGGGCTATCTGGAAGGTGTATATTTAACTTTTAAGAAACTTACAAACTGTTTTCTCAACTGGTTGTCATTTTACATTCCCACCAGCAATGTGTAAACATTCCAGTTGTTCTATATCCTCATGAACTCGGTATGATCAGTCTTTTTCATATTTGATATTATATTAGCTATAGTTTGCATTTTCATTTCCCTGATGACTAAAGATGTTGAGCATCTTTTCATGTGCTTATTTGCCATCCATACATCTTTCTTAAGTAAAATATGGTCCAAATCTTTTGCCCATCTTTTTCTTGGGCTAGTTATTTATATATTATTTTGTAGACAATTTTCATATATTCTGGATACAAGTCCCTTATATACATGATTTGAAAATATTTTCTAGTAGCATGTGACTTTTCTTTTCATTCTCTCTACAGTGTCTCTCAAAATGTAGGAATTTTTAATTTCAATGATCTCTAGTTTATTAATTTTTTATTTTATGAATGTTTATTTTTTTTTAAGATTTATTTATTTATACAAGAGCATGCACAGCAGGGTGGGGGAGGGGCAGAATGAGAAGGAGAGAGAATCTTAAGCCGGCTCCAAGCCCACAATCACCCAACATGGGGCTTGATCTCATGACCCTGAGATCATGACCTGAGCCAAAATCAAGAGTCAGATGCTTAACCGACTAAGCCACCCAGGTGCACCACGAATAGTGCTTTTATTGTCATGTCTAAGAAATATTTGCCTAACTTAAGTTCACAAAGATTTACATTTTCTTAGATTTGGGACTGTGATTTTTGAGTTAATTTTTGTGTATGCTGTGAGATAAGAATTAAATTAGTTTCTGTTGTTGGCTGGGGGGGGGGGGGTTGCCTATGAATATCCATTTGTTCCAGCCCCATTTGTTGAAATGTTCCTGCAACTTGGTTGAAAAATAATTGATTATATATGTATGGATCTATTTCTGGACTTTTTTATTCCATTCATAATTTTGTTTGTATTTATGTGAATATGACATAGTTTTTATAACTATAGCTGTATAGCAAATCTTGAAATCAAGTAGGGTTATCTATTTAACTTTGTTCTTTTTCAGACTTGTTTTGTCTCTCCTAGGTTCTTTGCATTTCCAAATGATTTTTAGAATCAGTTTGTCAATTTCTACAAAAAAACACCTGCTGGTGCTTTGATGGCATTGTGCTGAATTATAGATCAACTTAGGGAGAATTGATCTCTTAACAATATTGTGTCTTCCAACCCATTAACACAGTATTTTTCTCCATTTACTTAGGTCTTCTGTAATTTTTCTCAGTGATATTTTGTAGTTTTCCATCTGTAGGTCCTGCACATCTTTTCAAATATATCCCGACATAATTTTATAATTTCATGTTATTATAAATTGTATTGCTTTTTAAATTTTAATATCCAATTGTTTGTTGATAGTATAAAGAAATACAATTGATTTTTGCATATTTACCTCATATTCTACAAATTTGATAAACTCATTTATTCTAGTAGATTTTTGGTAGATTTCATTAGATATTTAACATAGATAATCATGGGGGCGCCTGGGTGGCTCAGTTGGTTAAGCATCTGCCTTTGGCTCAGGTAATCTTCTTAGGCTCCTAGGATGGACCCCTGCATCAAGTTCCCTGCTTAGCAGAAAGCCTGCTTATCCCTCTCCTTCTGCCACTACCCCTACTTGTGCTCTCCTGTTATCTCTCTGTCAAATAAATAAATAAATAAATAAAATCTTTTAAAAAAAACCATAAATGTGTCTTGTGAGTAAAGACAATCTTACTTTGTCCTTCCCAATATGAATATATTTTACTTCTTTTACCAGCCTTATTGCACAGAATAGGACCTCCACTAACAAGTTGCATAGAAATGGTGAGGTTAGGCAAACTAGTTTTGTTTCTGTAAGGGAAAACATTTAATCTTTTTCCTATCTTTGGTTTTCTATATATAATGTGTCTCTTTTTTGTCTGCTTTTAAGATGTTTTTCTTTATCATTGATTTTAAAGCAATTTGATTATGAGACTTGGTATAGTTTTCTTTATCTTTCTTGTGCTTGGAGTTTTGTTTTGTTTTTTGGCTCAATGGACTTAGTTTTTGTTTTTTGTTTCCCTCACTCCTCGTTTGGTGACTCCAATTATGTTGTATTTGATCACTTGATATTGTGCCAGAATTCATTAATGCCCTAGGTTTTTTTTCATTCTTTTTTCTCTGTGTTTCATTTTAGATAGTTTCTATTATTTTGCCTTCAAGGTCACTAATCTTTCCTTCTGAAATGTATAATCTATTGTTAATCCCACTCAGTATGTTTTCCATTTCAGACAATATAGTTTTCATCTATAGAAGTTCAACTTGGGTTTATTTTTATACCTTGATATCTCTATTTAAAATATTCAGTATTTCCTCTTGCTTCTGAACATGTGAAGTACAGTCATTGTAACTGTTTCAGTGTCCCTGTCTACTAATTCTATCATTTCTCAGTCCACTTCAGTTGACTGATTTCTCAGTGAGAATGAGTTGTATTTTTTACTACTTTTCATACCTGGTAATTTTTGATTGAGTGTCAGATATTGTGAATTTTACCTTGTCAGGTGCTGGATATTTTATAGGAATTATAAGTATCCCTGATCTGTATGCTGGATGCAATTAGGTTACTTGGAAACAATTTGATCCTATTACGTCTTGCTTTTAAGTTTTGTTAGGCAGGACTAGGGCTGCATTTAGTCTAAGGGTATTTTTCCCCTCTTACCGAGGCAAGACCCCTCTCCATACTCTAGCCAATTCTCATGAATTATGAGGCTTTCCTCTCTGGCAGTTGGAAACAAGCACTTTTCCCATCCCTGCATGATCCCTGAGAATTTTGCTTTCTAAATATTTGGGGTGGTTCTTTCCCCAGACTCAGTTTCCTCACATGTATGTGATAATCAGTGCTCTGCTGAGGACTTGAGGGAGGCCTCTGCAGATCTCCAGAGTTTTTGTGCTGCGAGCTCTCTCCTCTCTAGTCTTCAGGACTCTAAACTCTTTCTTCAGGCAGTAAGTGAATAGAGCTTATTTTGCTTGTTTTCCATCCCTTGAATGGAAATGTCCAATGTCTTGAGTGCCATTCTTTCATATATTTTTTTCTACTTTTTTAATTATTTAGGCAGAAGGATAAATCTGGGCCTCGTTACTCCATCTTGACCATAAACAGAAGTTCCAGTTAATTAATACAGCCACAAATGACTAGTGGCTAGCCTAACAGACAG